CTCATTACATATTTATCTCTAAATTATGCTTAGAAAAAAAGAAGAAGATGTTTTCTTATGTGTTATTGAGATTGTTTGGTATTGTGATTATATGATAATTGTCATGCATTTCTCCCTAATTTGTGAAGGTCAAAGCAAAGAGGTATACTCTTTGTAAGAGCGAGTACCGAAACTTAATCCCATTTATCAAAATACCAATATTAATCATTTTAATGACAACAGCGACTATCAAAAGTCAATCCCATTTGTCAATAAACAATATTAATTGTTTTAATAAGTAAAATGAAAATCTTGTCCAATAATTCTTAGCTAGACCCTCGACGAGGATGTTGGGAACTGTTGGTTGGGGAGGCTCGTTAGGACCCCTACTGTGCTGCATGTGTGTTTGTCAAGGACGAGGCTCACAAACCTCCCTTGATGCACCCCCAACCAGCCTGAGGCCTCACTTGACCCTCCTGCTAGCCTTAAGCATCGTCCAGCAAGCCTCACGCACCAGCCTTGTGCACAAGTGAGCCTCGCGCATGCATAGTGTACACATATGCAGCCTTATTCAAGGAGCGTATGCTCTTGGATTCAGAGTTCTCTAGGCACACATTCAAGGAGGGAATGGTGTTAGCCTTACTTCAACTGATGGATAGCAGTGGACAAGGCCTATGTGCAGCATGGTGCTTAGGTGCATCAACCTGTGCATCACAACTTGGCACAACTAGACTGTGGGATGACCGTCGGATTAAGGCCTCTGGGTTGGGCAGCCTCCATGATTGAAATTCAAATTCAAACAAGCCAAAAAATGGGTGATGAGGGCAAAACAGCTGGGATGTGGGTGTAATGGCCAGGATGTGGGCCACATGAATAAAGGTGATGGTTATAGTGCAGGGATTTGTTGGCCCATCAAAAGGCCTCACCTCAGGATGTGATATGAGGGTGGTAGCTTCATATGTAACCACTCAGGACGTGGGCAGCGTGGCTTCGTGCCAGATGCCAATGACCAAGCCTCAAGCTATATCTAGCCGCTATGTGTAGCAATTTTGAATTAAAAGATTGGTTAAAAGAGAGGAACCCATTTGCTCAAAAGGAGGTTATTGGTGCTTGTAGTTCCAGGTTGCCCCTCAAAAGGATTTTGGTATAATATGCACCATCTAATTATATGGACAACACATATTTTAGGGCCATACTGCATCCGAATTTTTGGGAAAAAATATAAAAATCAGTTAAATATTAGAAAAAATATCTTTATATCCCCTATTTTTAAGTTTTATATCTCAATAGACTCAAGGTTTCAAAGCATATCTTGGGTCATAAAAATTTTAAGTTTTATATCTTTTAACCCCCTAAGCTAACTTTATCTCCTTTAAACTTATTTTTTTGCCCCAAACAAATATAAGAAAGACATATACTTTCTAAATACCATCATTTCTTTCTCTTCATGTGTTTTTCCCCTAAATCTCTCTCTACCTATTTTCCCACTCTCTCTCCTCCCGTGTCTCTCACTCTCATTCTCCCATGTTAGAGAGACAAAGAGGGTGAATGTTATAGAGAGAGAAATTTGGGGGTAATATATCACGTAAAGAGATAAAAGGTTTAGAATGAGTATGTCTTTTTTTATATTTATTATGGCTAAAAAATAGTTAAAAGTGGGTAAAGTTAGTGAGGAGGGTAGGAGATATATTTTGAATCTTTGGGTCTATTGAGATATAAAAACAAAAAATAAGGGGTACGAGGATCACAAAAATGTATTTATAGAACTTTGAATTTGAAACGTACCATAAGTCACTCTAGGCGCATTTCTACTTCAGATCACAACTTTGCAACTCCAAAAGTAATGCAGATTGATAATATGTGAATATAAAATAAACAGTGGTGAGCAGTCCAAAAATAAAGTTGAAAATAATTTATTTTTAATAATCAAATCATTTTTCTTTCAAATTCATGATTATAATAGTCGAGAGTATTGACAAATAAATTGCGGGGAATTTATGCTAATGTCACTTTTATATTTCAGGATTAAAAGAATGATCCCCATTTAGATGTTTCATGTCCCATTTATAGGCAATTTTTTTTCCCCAAAATACCTCTACAAAACGGGTGTGTTTGTATTTTTTTTTTTTTTGGAGTTGCCAATTCAGAACTTTAATATCCGAACTAGCTAATTTATAAAGTAGTTGGTTGGTGCTTGAAGTTCCAAGCCAATTACCTAATCATATAACTAGTTCAAAACTTCAATTTTCAAACTCATGACTTATGAGGTGCGATCAGAACTTCAAATTCTCAAAATTAATCCCTTTGAAACTTCAAGCAGCTCGTGGGTCCAGAACATAAAGTTTTGAACTGGTTTTTTGATTGATGCCGAAAACCGATTCAAAACTTTGAGTTCTAAATTGTGGGTATTTTGGAAAAAAGAAATCTAAAAAAATAAACATGAGTGTAAATCATGCAAAATGAAAGACATTTTTCTAATATTGCATATTGAAAAATATTAACATAAAGAGTGAATTATGTATGGACACACACAAAATATTAAAATACGAAATGAGTAAATTTTGGATTAAAATTACGTGAAAAGTCAGTCAATGTGAGGTTTTTATTTTTTTTCAAAATTTCATGTCAGTCCGATGATACCATCCTCGAACCACATTTTAATTTTTTTTCTTATTTAGTTTTTTCGATGGTAGGGTTGTACCTTAATGTTTGGGACAGTATCCAATCGGTCTGATGTTAGCATCATCGAACCACCTTCTATAGTGGCTCTTCAAAGTGGGCCGAGGTTGGCATCCTCGAACTGCAAAAACTAACTTTGTTAAGCATTTAAAAGTGTTCCGAGTTGTCCATTCTCGTTTTGCCTTCTCTAGTGCTCTTCAAGGCGGTTTGAGGTTGGCATCCTCGGACCGCATTAGCCCATTTGTTTGCTAAGAAATAAGGCAGACCAAATATGTCAACCTCGAACCGCTCTTTAGTTTTATTTATTTTTTAGTTTTTTCATTAGTACGGCAGTGCCCTAGTGTAGATCGAGAGGCAATTTTTGAAGAGAAAAAAAAAAGTATAGGTTGACCGACCTTTTATGTAATTTTCACTCGAAATTGACCTATTTCGTTTTTCCTTTTTCTTTTTTGTGTTCATGCATAGATAAATCTAACATTAAATATCCTAAAATTTTAGATGAATTACCAAATATTAAATATTTTATTGATATCCTCCTCTTTAATTTTTTAAGTTTTCCCGTAAAGCCCCCTACTTATGTGGTGACTTCGGATCTAGAAGTTTTGAAGTACTATTTTTCTTATTTATTTAGAGTTTCAAGATCCGCCGTCATTTCTTCATCTTGGAGGTCAAAGCCAATAGTTCAAAAAGTTTTCCAAACATCTTGACTTCATTGGAAGGCATGAATGACTCTGAATCTTGAACATTTGAAGTCATAATTTGAAAATAATTACTTCAGCTCTTCAACATTTGAAGCATTACATGAGTTATGAATTCAAGATCGAGAAAATGGACATTTTACAAAAGATTTTTAAAAAAAATTCTCAAAAAGTAGGTAAGTCCGTAAAATACAAAATTTCAAGGGTGTTTCCCAAGTAACATAAAATTAGAGCATAACTTCTTTTTCAGGGAAATTTTATCAAAGTACCTATGAGAGAGCAACGGTTTAATATTCTACTCACATCTTTTGGTTTAATTTCAAAATATCCACCAAAAGACGATTATGACTTAGAATAGTTGCAAATAAATAAAATATTAAACATGGTATTTGGTAAAAGAAAAGTGTTATATGGGACACATTCCTACATCGCCCCCGAGGTATAAACCTTCAATCTCAATGTCCTCAAGATGGTTGTAAAAAATCAATGGCCTTAATATTTTCTTCCAAAAATTATTATTTTAGTTTTAAATTTTTTTTCATATTAATGATCTCAATATAAGGTAAATTAAGGCTACAACTATTTCAAGAATAGATTATTAGAAGGGAGCACATTTCTACATATGAGTCAGGGTACTCATAGAAACAGTACCCCTTTCATAAATTACCCATTTTCGCAAGGGCATGGGAAAATGTCTCGATAGGCGAAGGTGCACATAATGAATATGGGAAGGAGATGATAGTTACGTATTGGTCCAAATTTATGAAAAATTTATTTGGAGGTACATTAATCCCATATTTACAGCATCGGTCTCGTGCTTTAATTAAAAAAAAAACTTTTGACACACTTTTTTTTTTTAAACTATTTTGTCCCTGGTTCCATGTTGGAAACATAATACAGTTTTTATTTTTTTGAAGTGTAGGGATTGGTCTTAAGTTTGAATCCTTCAGCCACCCTATACTTGATACTTGTTAAAGTACACGATCCGATGTTGGACATTAGACCAACATTTTTAAAGAGCAAGCACAATGGGGTGGCCCGATATATTAAATATCACACCCACCCAAGTACCTAGTAATACCTCTACTTTATCCAAACCTATTTTATGTGGTTTGTTGGACCAAAACTTTTTTATAATTTTTTATAGTTTCCTTAAACCCATAAGCAATTTATTACTTTTCTAAAATGGCGAGTCTACCTTATCTCCCATACCTCCCAAAATTTTCCAAATTTTAAAGGTTTTTGAGCTAAACTGGAGCCTTTGTAATAGGGTCGACCACAAGGACATATACTTTTGTAGTCAGGTGGATCACATAGGACATAAATTGGGGCCTTTGTAGTCGGTTTTTTAGTCAAATTTCCGTCCGATGTCTCCAACAACATACTATATACTTTTTTAAAAAAAATACAAAAGTATATGGTGGCCAATGATTCATCCTTACATTTCCAAAAGTTTTAAAAATAAAATAAAAAGTGATCAGACGAAATTGAAAATAATAAATGTGGTTAGACAAAATTGCAAAGAAATAAATGAACCTCCGCATCAATTTCCAACAGAGAAATTACCATGTGGTCCATAAATTTGTACAAGTATGTAATTACCACATTTAAATATTGATAGGAATGCAATTTTTCCAAGTCGGAACTTAGATTTGGGGGAAGTCCCACGACATGTTCATTCTTAATAAGAGGCAGGGAGGTTTTACGGATCTCCAAATCACCAACCTCCTTAATTTCTAGGGAGCGAGTGAAATTCATTGAGTGAAATTCAGGAGCTTTCAATTCCATAGAGAGAAAGGGTTTCAGTTGAAATCCAGAGAGAGAGAGGGCTCCAGTTGACCTATCTCTTTGCAAATTTGATGACGGTGACCAAGTAATCCCGGTGTGTATCTACTGCACATTTCACTTTCTTTCCAATATATGCTGTTTTTCTTAATGCCAAATTCTTTAAAGCGGAAAACCAGGAGTTGCCATTCCTCTTCTCGCACCACATTCTCTGTGATTTCCAGTTTTGCTTGATTTTAGAGTTGAATTCCTATTCTGGATCTTCTCATAGTTGTTTGTTCTGATGGATCCATCCATTTGAGCAGTTTATAAAACCCATCTGATCTGCACATTTCTGATTTTCTGTTTCTCTTTTATTAAGGTATAACTGGTATGCTTGAAGATGCCAGTGAATAAAATGATTCCTTGCTGGTCAAAGTTGTTTCTTTTTCGTTAGAATTTTTTCATGACTTTCACATGCATATGTTAAGTGACGCTAAGGATGCACACTGGCAACTTACAGCTAGATGTTTGAGCTATTAAGACGTCATTGAGATAGAATCATTGCCTATCAGGCCTTGTATGCCAAATTCCGAGATCACTGTGTTTTTTTTTCTTCTCTCTCTCAATATATATATATATATATATATATATATATATATATCTGAGATCAATTTTAAAATTAGCCTTTCTATTCTTTATTTGCAATTAGATCAGAGGTTTCCAGGTGGAGAATTAAATCACACTACCACGGACACACCCGCCATCCCCCCAAAACACCCCCTCCCCCACCCACAAAAAAAAGAAAAAAAAAAGAAAGAAAGAAAGAAAAGCAATTCTCTAAGAAATGCTATTTATTCAAATTTTCAACCATTGATACAAAAACATTTAATGCATATCTTTTATTTTGTTTCCTAGTGTTCTTTTTTTTTATATGCATTTCATGATTCATACAAGCCCCTCATAGGAGCCATCCTTATCAGTTGAGAACAGTGTTTTTTTTAAAGGAAAATATGGTTAAGATGGATTTTAACAAAGATTCAATCAGTGGAAGATCCTTATGAACGCAAGGCAATGGGCTGCTCTATATGTGGGATCCACCAACTGTGACTAATACTTTGTACTGAATACACACACACACACTCATGCATGAGTAAGATCGACTTGCTTCTCATGTCTCATTAAAATGTTATGGACAATGTGATATTGATAGAAATATTATGAGACAATAATATGGAAAATGAGAAAATATAATTATTCTCTATTTTTATGCAATGTGAATGAATAGTATATATTTATTTAGCAAAATGAAATTGAATAATCAACATTTCTTTAGTGAAATGAGTAAATTATTTGTGGGATGCTTTATTATAATGCATAAATTGTGATATAGCATATTAAGGTACAGAGGTGATCATTGTAGTTATAATGAACTGTTCTAATTATATTTAAAATTTATAAATAATCTAACTAATATTATATAGCTGTTGTTATTGTCACTGTGTATATAAGATGTTTACTTAAAATTATGTATTGAAATAATAATAACACATATATTTGTAGATGTGATGAAGCAAAATTGTACTGTAAATGATAGTATGATATGCGTGTTCCATCATACGATGCAAGACGTGAATTTAGAGCTAGACTTGTTGGCAAGCAAGGAGTTAGTAATGATTTTTCTTGCCATAGGAAGTCCTTCCCACTTATGCGACTACTCCTCTTTAGCTTTGTACTATCATTATTTCTTCGTGCCGCTTGTGTGATGATTGTTGGGCTCACCCGTTCGAGCCCTCTCGCAAAAAAATGTGGATGTGCGTAGAGGAACCCAGATTTTATGGGACATAAACACCAAATACTGTGCATGTGTATGAGTGGGAAAAATAAATAATTCAATGAGGTCGAGATTTATGTGGTTCACCTTTTTAGGCTACATTCGCTAGAGAAATAGATAAAAATCCACTAATAAAATAACGGAGTGCAATTTTCTTCTAAGAGGCAAGCTCTCTCATGGGTTACAAGTTTCCTTGACTTCTTCTAGATGCTTTTCTCTCTCTATGTTTTCCTTGGGTTCTTTCTTCTCCAAGAGGCTTCTTCTCAGTCTAGGGTTATCTCTCTCTCAGGGTCCTCTATCTAAGATGATCTGTATCTCCTTGCACAGAACTCTCATTCTTTCTTTCTTTCTCTTCCCTCTATATTTTCATACAAAAGAGGTTGACGAGGCACACGCCACTCACAAAACCTAGACACCCTAATATCTTTCACATTGGGGTTTTATACCACCCAATGACTTGCCCTCCAATTCATTCAGTTTTATACCATAAAGAGCCCCCATCAATTGGGGAATACCACAGAGGTCCCCTTCCACATGGGATGGGACTCTCCCTACAATCTCCCCCTCCTGTCCCATGAGGGAGGTTCTCCACAGATTAACCTAGTGCTCAGATGGCACCCATGCTAGCCATGCTTTTGCACAACTCGTCTTTGTGTCTGGCTAAGATCTTCGTCATTATATTCGATGTATTCCTGTTGGGATATATTTTCTCTAGCTGCAACAGTTTCTTCTCTAGGAGCTCCTGAAGCTAATGACAACGCACATCATTTTGCCCTTGAATGGAAGCTAGCATTTTTGCTCAAGTGAATATGCTTTAACTGTTACAATGGACAACATGCATGTCTTATTTCAAGCTAGCTCTTGGAGGAATCTCTTCGTCCTCTCCAATCTCTTCATCCACAACATCTCCTTACCGGCTTCTGTGACTGGGAGGTATTCACCTCTATCATCGACAGGGCCACACACTTCTGCTACTTAGACTGACATGAAACAGCTCCCCTGCAAAAGTCAACAAGTATCTAGAGATTGACTTCCTGGAGTATGTATCTTTAGCCATGTCTGCATCTGTGTACCCTTGTAACACAGTTTTACCTCTCCCAAAGCAGAAATACCCTTTGGATGTTCCTTTGAGATATCTGAAAATCCCCTTGATTGCTGCCTAGTGTTCCTTACTAGGATTAGCGATAAATTTGCTTACTATACGGACTGCGTATGCGATATATGGCTTCGTGCATACCATGGTGTACATCAAACTTCTTACGACCGACGTGTAGGGCACTTTTTGTATTTCTTGTTTCTCATTCTCATTTTAAGGGCTCTACTTGGCACTTAACTTGAAATGGCTACCATGTGGCGAACCGACATATTTCGCGTTTCTCATATTGAACCTTTCGAGCACTTTTTCAATGTACCTGTTTTGTGACAGCCATAGCCTTCCGGCCTTCCTATCACGAGAGATCTTCATGCCCAAGATCAGTTGAGCAGGTCTTAAGTCCATGGCAAAGGCATTACCCAACTCTTCCTTTCACCTGTCAATCTTGCTAATGTCTTGACCGACAATTAGCATGTCATCAACATACAAGGATGATGATGTCACTGTCAGAGAACTTGACGAACACACAGTGGTCTGAGGTTGTCCTCTTGTACCCATGATTCCCATGAAGGAATCAAACTTCTTGTATCACTACCTTGGGGCTTGTTTCAACCCATATAGGCTCTTCGTTAGCTTATAAACCATGTGCTCCTTCCCTATGTCCTTGAATGTTTTGGCTGCTCCATATATATCTCTTCCTCCAAATCACCTTGGAAAAAGGCAGTCTTGATATCTAGCTGCTCAATCTCTAGATTCAAGCTTGTAGGCATGCCTAACACGACACGAATTGATGACATTCTCATCACGGGATAAAAAATTTCATCAAAGTCGATGCCCTTTCTCTGCTCAAAACCTTTCAAAACCAACATGGCCTTGTACCTTGGTTGTGAGCTCGTTTCTTCATTCTTTAGCTTGAATACCCCGCTTGTTCTTCAATGCCTCCTTGCCTTTAGGTAATTTTACCAAGTCATAGGTGTTGTTCTTATGCACGGATTCTATCTCCTCTAGCATAGCTTTAACCCGCTCCTCTTTGTGTTCATCGGCTTGAGCTTCTTGGTAGCTTCACCCCCTTTATTGTATAGGACATGCTCGGATGCGGGGTATCTAGTAGAGGGTTTATGTCCCCTAGAGAACCTTCTCAGTTCAATTGTAGGGGACACTTCTTGAATAGGCTGCTCCCGTTGTTCGACATCACTCGGAACTCGTATGTCATACTCTCGGGATCCATCTTCTTGTTGTATTTCTTCCCTGTTTTCATGTACCACGGTAGGAGGAACTATGACCGGTTTGAATCATTGAAGATTTGAGGCTTTTCTGACTTCTTCACATCTTCAATGGTAAGGTCTTCTTGAAAGACTGCATCCCTGCTCCTGATCACCTTCCCATTCTCAGGCTCCCATAACCTATAGCCAAACTCTTCTTTTGAGTCCCCTAAGAAGATGCATAGGAGTGCTTTCTCATCCAACTTGGATCTTTGTTCCTTGGGCACGTGCACCAACGCCTTACACCCAAACACCCTCAAGTGTGAATAAGAGATATCCTTTCCAATCCAAATTCTCTCTGGGATCTCACCATCTAGAGGAAATGATGGGGATCTATTTATTAGGTGGCATGGTGACTGCTTCACCCAAATACAACTTTAATAATTTGGCGGTGGATAACATGCTCTATACCAATATGCTAGGGGGTATATTACACTGTCTTTTCGTGCCTTATGCCATGCTTGGCACAATAGTTTTTAAAAGCATTCGACGTGTACCCTCCACTGTCCGATTTTAGACACTTCAACAACTTGCCTATCTCCCTTTCTACTTGAGCATGGAAATTTTGAAAGATATCAAACACTTGATCTTTTGATTTCATTAAGTACACCCACACTTTTCTTGAAGCATCATCAAGGACGGTGATGAAGTATGATGTGCCACCAAACGATTTCACATCCATGAGACCACACACATTTGAATACACCATATCCAGGATTTTCGTATCTTTAGAGCTCTTATTGGAGAATGAGACTCTATCTTGTTTGCCTAGCAAACAATAGTCACGTGGGGTCAAAGATGTATTCTTAACACTAGGAAGGATATGTTGTTTTGCTAAGACTTGCATTCCTTTTTTCACTCATATGCCTGAGATGCCTATGCTACAGGTCTAATGAGGGTTCTTCCATAGTGTCATTAACTTGCCATTGAAGACTTGCACCTATGTTCTGTAGAGTGACAATACTTCTTGCCCTTTGCCATGACAAGACATCCCTTCGTCAACTTCTAGTGTCCCTTACTGAATACTGAGTGGTACCCTTTGCCATTTAAACGCCCTCCTGAGATGAGGTTCAGACGGATATCTAGTACGTGTCTGACGTCCTTTAGCAACAGCTTCATCCCAATATCAGTTGATGTGTACATCCCCCTGGTCCACAATCTTTGAGGAGCCATTGTTCCCCATCTTTATAGAGCCAAAGTCTCTTGCTCTGTAAGTAGCAAAATACTGTTTATATAAGGTAACATGAAATGATGCTATGTTATTGACGACTTAGTTAGAGTTGCACGAACTTATGCAATACAGAGGTGCTCATCCCTACAGTTTTTGATCACGCCAACATTTATGGTCACCGCAGTGGATTGCCTGCCATCATTCCTAGCATTGCCCTCATTCTGCTCTTTCTTGAGCTTCCAGCACACTTCTTGATGTGCCCGTTCTTGTCACAGTTAAACCATGTGTCCCCCTTTCTAAACTTCCATCTAGCTTTCTCTTTAGATTGGTTAGATTGGTTTTGATCCTTATTATTGGACCTTCCTCGATTTGTGACAAGAGCTTGTGAGTTGGATGTTTTGAAGGGTTTTTCTTTGGTCTCCGCATTTAGCAGGCTGCTAATGACTTGACTCATGGTCACTATCCCGTCAAGTGCTGAATTGCTTACGAAGACTGCAAAGGTCTCTAGGTAGTGAATCGAGCAACAATAGAGCTTGTAGCTCATCTTCTAGGGACAACTTCGTCGTGGAGAGTTGGTTAATAATGCTTTACACCTCATTCAAGTGCTCCACAACGGAACCCCCATCCTTGAAATTCAAGTTCACCAACTTCCGTATCAAGAAAGCCTTATTCCTGTCGGTCTCTCTCATCAAGAAAGCCTTATTCCTTGGCCGGATGTCTCCGTCGACCCATGTTGGAACAGACTCTCGTCCAACCATTGTCAGATATTTCCAAGAGCCTTTCCATCTAGCTTCTTCCACTCATCATCAGTCATGCCCTCTAGCTTGTGTTCTACCCCTTCAATGGGCATATATAAGTCCTTGCAATATAGAGAAGATCTTCCAGAGGATCCAGTTATTCTTGTTTAGCGATATCATCCTACCCCTTGTATTGGAATCCATCTTAAATCTACACGCACAGTCTTCCACCCCCCCCCCCCTCTCTTCTTTCTTTCTTCTTTTCACTGCCTGTTAAGTCTTCACTAGCCGTTAGGGAGGGTCACTGTCATTGTTTTCAAATGGGGGACTGCATCGCCGCACATGCAGCAGCATATGCGCCCCAGGGTGCTTCGCCTAAGGGCACATATGGGCTTTGATGGGACCAGTGTTTCAAAAAAAGCTAGGTGGCGCCTAGGTGGCCGGGGGGGGGGGGGGGGAGAGGGGGGTCCAGGCCGCCCAGTGCCCAGAACCTGGGGCCCAGTAGAAAGAAAAATGTCTCTATAGTCTAATAGTATAAGTACAACTGTACAACACATAAGAGTTAGGGATTTAGGGTACATCAAATGTGTAGCACACAAGTCCACATAACACACACTCCTCCATACTCCATAAGTCCATAGTTTGATAGTCCACTAAATCTAATATCAATAGGTGATGCTTAGATCAATTTCTCATAACTTTGAGAAACCCTTTGATCCTATTAAAATCATCAAAAACTAGTGTTTTGGGTTTTTTTTCTCTCTAAAATAGGCTCTAATGGGGTTTAAGTTTCAAATGAACCTAAAACCCATGATTTTTCCCTTTTAGGATTAAAAAAAAAGACCAAAAAATGCCCTCAACGAGGAATATTTCCGCCCCCTGGGCAGCTGCTTAGGGACAGCCCACCTAATTTGGCCGCCTAGTCCTGGGTGCATATTGCTTTCTTTGTTGGTCGGGTTGTCGATTGGGATTAGCTTGGGCGTTGTTTTGAAGAAGTTTGAGCATGGAGTCATCAACACATCAAGGGTTTCAAGGGCCGAGAAGATATCAAACTTTTTCCATCAATAATTTGATTATATGAACTTGATGGTGAGGGCACAAGTGGGTGGACTATGTATTCGCGAGCAGAGTTTGATGGTGAAGATCTCACTTGGTATGATGTCGAGCTAGCCGCAGGGGCTGAAGAAGAAGTACAACGGCTACAACCTAACACTAGAACACAAAAGAGAAAAGTTGGGTCCAGCCGCATATCGGTTCCAAAGGTCGAGGAAGAGCAAGCCGACTCAGAGGAGACCGAGGAAGACAAAGAACGCTGGGGATCATATTGATGATTATGATTTCTTGCACTCAGATGCTAGAGATGCACATGCACATGGAGACTTCCTAAATGACTGGTCTAATTGAGATTGAGACTTGAAACTTGAGAGCTAATTAGATTATCTTTTTGATTTCTATTTTCTTCTATGTTTTGTCTTGACTCTTGAACTCTTCAGAGACTTTTAGTGGTTGTATGTATCTTTGCTTTGGAGTTGTATTTCTTTGTTATAGGAATGGCAGATCTGCAACATTGATCACCGATTCATGGTGTGATGGTTGAAGGTTTAGTAAGGCACTTGTAAGAGTAATTGTGTTAATCTCTAACAAGGAGCACCACAACGTAAAATTTATGAATAAGTGGATAAAAGCTTTTCTGAGAGTTGGGTGCAGATGTAACTACTCTTCCTGAATGTTTCGATATTCCTGTATTTATGGTAGACTATAAGACTATAGCTCTTATTTTTTATTCATAGGGAATAATTATATTTCCACATGGACTGGGGAGCCTGCTAGCGGCTCCCTCTCTGAAATTGAAATTCACTGTGACATAAAAATCTGATCACCTCACCACACTTACCTTGTTGACTCTGTGCCATTTTTCAATACATTTTCATAGAAAATTAGTTAGATGGAGGAAATTGCTAGGGGGATGGAGGACAATAGAGTGAGGAAACTTACAGTACCATGAATTTGAGTACCCTCTTGAGCAACCGAAGATGATCTATTTCTTGCTATGTTCTTCTTTGTTTTCTTGATGACAAAGCTAAATTAATAATAGCTTCTTGGGCCCATGGATGCCACATGTTACAGCACTGTACTTATATTGGTCTTCGATTTTGGAGTCTTCACTATCAAGGCTTCTAAGGATGGGATATAATATATAATTTCATGGACTTTTTGTGGATTGTCACTTATTTTTTATACTTTATCACCTTTTACATTCTATGACAATTGTAACTTGTATTCTCTTCTTGGAATGTATAAATATTTGTTGTAAGATTCACTCTGCATCTTCCATAACATTATTTTTGTGGGATGTGTAGAAGTCTTTGGTGATTTATTTCTATTAATTGCAGCTTTAGAGGGGCATCAGAATTTTTGAACCTTGAAAGATTATCAAATCAGGAGACTATGAAGATCTGAAAGCTGATTAATCTCTTCTGCTGCTCATTTTCTTAACTACTCTGGCTGCTGGTATGATCTGCTGATATGTTCTCAATATTTTCTTATTTGTGGCTACCTCTCCATTTGTATTATTTACATAAACTCAAGGTCCATTAGGGAATATCAATTTCATGGCATTCTTCAGTTTTTGGAATTTATAACTGAAATCAGTTTCATGGCCTTCTTCAGTTTTTGGACTTTATAACTAAAAATCGTTATCATGGTTGATTTAAGGGTGGACATAATTAACAAAAACTTTTTCCCAAGGGTCAAACCAAGGTGAAAGGTCTCAGATTCCAGTTAAAAACTGTTTGTGTCCTCTGTAATGAGTTACTGTTTTACATACCTTATCCATTTTTCATGATTTTACTTTTGGAATGTTTGGATGTGGGTAGGAATGGATGCCTTATAAAATCATCTTTGCTGACATGCCCCATCAGAAATTTCCCTGATGTGTTCACATTTTCTGCTTTCCGTTCATCATTTTAACATTCTTGATTGATTCTGGGGCACTTTTTAGGTTCTGGTATGGGAGCTGAAGAATTACACAAAGTGGCTCCTGGTGGAGTTTGCATCTCAGAAGTTGTGTATGATAGTTGGTTTCGACTCCCTATAGCTGGTTTGCGCCCATCAGCTCGTTACAAGGTCATAATGTAGACTATAAAAATGCAAGTTGTGAAAGTTAACTACGAAAAGAAAATTGGAAATTGTTGAGTTTCTTGCTGTCAATGTGAGATAGCAGAACACCAAATAACTTATTTATCTTTTCCAGAATTTATTTTGTATTCTTACAAGTAGCAAATTCTTCTGGGATTTTACAGCAAGCTGCAGAAGTCACTCATGGTAAGCTCTATGTAATTGGAGGGAGTCGCAATGGTCGTTATCTGTCTGATATTCAGGTCAGAAGGGGGGATTGAGGTTTATATGTTCCATTGCTATGGTGGGATGCAAAATTTTGTAAGGCCTTGTATATTGGATGTTAAGTAGATAAGTTATGCCAGGTTTTCAATCTTGAAACTTTGACATGGTCGGTGGTGAAACCAGTCTTGGATCAAGATCCAGATAGCTCAAAGGATGATGTCACAAGTGAGTGTGTACTCGCTTCATCTGGGCATAGTATGGTTAGTAAAAATTTTTTAGTGTCAGGCAATTTTACTTATACCCTAGTTCTAAAATTTTTGGTTCCTTCATTGCTCAAATGAGCCTTTGTCAACTCTGTGATGGAGGTAGCTTGACTCCGATCAAACTTTTGTCATATTCTTTCAGATTAGATGGGAAAACAAACTTCTAGTTGTTGCTGGACATACGAAGGACTTGGCTGATACTGTAACAGGTTGAATGCCTCTAATTCTTTTCTGTTTTTACCTTACCAAATCATCTGCTTGTGGTTTCTGCATATACTTTTTGAATTATAGTGAAAAATCTAGGAAAATGTTACTATTAATGAACCTTTTAAAAATTCCCTTCAATTTTGAAATCCTAACTACGTTAGTCTGTATTGTGTGAAAACATATGAAACTATCTTTCTAACATATGTGCATATGCAGCAGCAAGGGAAGCTCCAAACCTGAGTGGTTTGATGCATAGTTACCCAAATCTCTTTGCCGAGGTTGCGATTCCGGTTTGGAATCCCGATTTGGTGATTCCGACAAGGCATCTTCACAAAAACCGTTAGGAGTCTTAGATTCCATAAAATAGGAATCTCATTTAATACCTTTTTAGGAATCTTGATCCCATTATTTGTGGAATCTTGGTCCCAAAATTTTCGAATTTTGATTCCAACATTTATTGAATCTTGATTCCACGTCTGTTGATTCTTGATTCCACATGTGATGAATCTTGATTTGTTAGGGTTTTGAATCTAGAATCTATGACATAAAATACCTCACTTCGTAGGAATAGGGAACTGCAATTCAATCAACATGGAAGTTTTCTTTGACCTCCATAAGATACCTGTTTGATGTCAAAATCTCTCTCTACCCACGTGTTATTTTTTAATTCATGCAATAATGTATCCATATGTGTGCGTAGTGTTTAAATTGAATTTCTCCCCTTCCACAATGACATAACATGAATGCAAGTAAAAAAATAATAAAAAACTAAAAAAAATAAAGGATAAAGAAAACAATTCGAAGTACACATAATGTCCATTTTCCTGAATGGTTAATTCTTTTTAAAGGTAATTGGAGTAGAAATATTCATTCAATTCGAATGCTTGTAATTGTGCTAAGACTGGCTCGAATCACATTTCTAATAGTGCTAGGATGGACTGCTTTTTCTTTAAAGTATAATTAGTGACTACAACACATACAATAAATTCCATGGCATAGAGAAAATCCTACTTTGTCTCTATAATAATGAAGTCAAGATCACAATTTAGATATACATGGGATAACATTTGTATCTTTTGTAGATAATTTCCCTAGTGGACTACTTGACCCTAAGTTCAATAATCAATACATTGACTTCAAATCTGAGGAACCCTTCTACAAGTCTAATAAGAGACATTTGATATCAATTGCTTAAATACGATCTAAGTCGATAAAGCGAGAGATAATGTTGAAGGAAACTTGTTTCTATGGGGCTTCGTACTCGACTCCATAGAGTTACAAATCTCGATTCCCAGTTGGGATCAAGCTCGATTCTAAACTAATATGAATCCCAACTCTAAACTGGCATGAATCTCGGTTCTACATATGTCAGAAACTCGATTCCAAATATGTCGGAATCTCGATTCCAAACTGGTATGAATATAGACTCCACGTATGTTGGAAACTCGATTCTTAAGATTTCAAAATCTCAATTCCTTGGGGTTCAATTTCAAGGTGGTAGGAATCTCAATTCCAAGGCCGCTAGAATCTTGATTCCATGTGGCAAAATCTCGATTCCATTTTGATCAATTCTCGATTCCCAAAAAATAGGAATCTTGCTCCCCACGATTCCCATTGTCGATTCTGAAAACAGGAATCTTCTAGCCGACCGTGATTCTGATTCTTAAAACGATTGGGATTCCTAGGCATTTCCAACCACTATTGTTTGATGTATAAACAATGAGATGAACAATTTGAGGCATATCCTGATTTGCCATGTTGACTGAATGAGCTAAGTTTAAGGGATCACTTTTCAGGAATGGTAAAAGATGATGAGATATAATCGGGTGATAACCTGGTGTTACATGGAATACGATACACCAAATTACTGCTCTAATTGTTTAGACCCTACTGGACGGATGGAGGGAGGGAGGGAGTGGTGGGATGAATATTGTCTCCATATTGCAGCCTTTGCAGTCTCTCTAGAAATTGATGATATGTCACTCATGAAACTCTGGTATACTTTAATCGTTATCTCATAACTACTTGCAGTTATAATATTCTTAAAGCTCAGTAGTATTTTGATTGTTATTTGCAGACTGTGGGCATTTTTTTGCTTTCCCATTTACAATTTGCTGTGAATTCCTAGTTCTACTGTGTTATTGTGGACTATCGAGGTTCTTCTTTGGCATCAGAACACAAGAAGTTGTTGCTTTCTGTTAATCAACTTAATGATATACTCGAGCATTTCTGCATATGATGATTGTCTTATGCTACATGTTGAGTGTTGCAGTTCGATCACTCGACATGGAGACCAACTGCTGGACTGTTATAAAGACCCATGGAAAAGCTCCGGTAATTGCATGCCTCCTATTACTAGTTTTGTTTAGGAAGTGAGGATTGGGATGAGGTTTGAACCATAGCCTATTGTTTCAGAGTCTTGAAATGTGCTCTCCATGACAATAGATTAATGTAATGAAACTCTTTAAATGATACTTCACATAGGCATCAGACCATCTGCTCAGTTTTCTTCTTTGACGTGAACCAAGTCCATTTACTTCTAAATTTTTGACAAAACTTTGTCTATGACAACTGTTGCATATTGGCTTCTGTTGTGCACAAGTTGGGATTCAGTATCTCATTCTCCTGAATTAGTAAGATGCATCATACAATTGTTCATATCAGCATAAGTGTAGTTTGTTTCAGATAGCTCGCGGAGGCCAGTCTGTAACTCGTTTTGGCTCAAGCTTAATCATGTTTGGTGGGGAAGATCCTAGAAGGCGCCTCTTGAATGATATTCATGTTCTTGATGTGAACACAATGACATGGGAAGCTGTTAAAACCCTGTAAGAACTTCTCCTTAGTGGACAGCTCTTACAATGTTCATAATGATTTCTTTAAGTGCAGCATCTTTTTAATTGGAAAAATTATCTAATTGAGTATTTTCTTTTTATGTGATTTTCGTGTCAAGGGGAGCACCTCCAGCACCAAGATATGATCATGTAGCTGCACTGCATGCTCAACGATACCTTTTGATTTTTGGTGGTGGTTCACATTCAACGTGTTTCAATGACCTTCATGTGTTGGATCTGCAGACTGTAAGTTTCCAGTTTTCCTATTGTCCTTTACAAATTATTGGAATACATGGTTTCTGATATCCCATCATTGAACATTGATTTCACTGAAATAGGAGTAAATTTATTTCTTAAACTTCAATTGTATGATATATACTGGGCTTGGATGGTCTGGGACTTGAAGTTTGTGATCGAAGTGCTGTCACATTTTGTGTGGAGCACCTATTTGCTTGATATAGGTGCTGTAGATTCTCGATGGCAAAGGATTAATGAGAAATGGAGGAAATGATAAAGAGTGGATTTTTAGGCAGTTTCAAAGTTCGCTTATCATTGGACTCATGGCTTTTTTTTTTTTTTTGGGGGGGATGGGGTCCCCTCCACTGTGGTAGGAATGAAGCTCAAGACGTCATGTTGTGGTGGTCCGCCACCCTAGCCACCTAGCCTAGAGCCCATTTCTAATCTATGGCTTGTACCTGGAAAAGAAAGGGTAGGAGGCAGCAAGAAATCGAGACTGAAGAGGGATTTTAGGAGTCCCATGGCAGTTTTGACTTACTTGTTTGGAATGAAGGAAGAAATATAAAGAGCATAGTAATTAAGGGTTGTATATGAAATAAAAAATGGGAAAATTATGTGGAGGAATTGGCACATGATACTGCCGCTCATCTTTGAACATCTGTCCTTGTGGAGCTGAAGGTTTAATATTTGCTTAAGGCATCCACTGGTTTAACTGCTTTTTCCAAATGTGTTTCTTTTTCGTCTTTGATTGCACTAGTTGTAATTGATTATCGTGCGTAGCAGAAGGGAAGACATAGTGTTCTGAGATATCATCTGAGGTGGAATCAAGGAACAGATGATGTTGATTGCAGTACAAAATTTTTGAACCAAATAAGTGGTGCTTCAATGTTGAGGTTCTCAGGTTGTACTTTTCTTTGATTTTTCGTTTTGCTTTTCAGTTGATCCCCTATTATTATACCATTTATTTCCACCTTCTAGTTAATGCAATTTTATAGAACAGTATTTCTATAGAGGCGATGCTGCATTCTTTTATATGAAATTTATGTGAAGAGATAGAAAATTTTAGTTAGTCTCTAGTTGTTTTCCACTATGCCAAGTGAATTTGCCACAGACCAATAAGTGGTTGCTTTATTTTTTGCTGCATCATGGCAAACCGGGATTCGGGTAGCCCACTCCAAATAGTTAGGAAAGGGTTCTGAGGACGATGATGATCTCCTTAAGTTTAGTGAATCGGTTTGCTCTTTTCAATGACTTTAATTAAGTGGTTGTCTTGGGAATCCTTTGATCGTTGTAGCTAATTAGCGTTAGCATCTCTGTATGTTACAGATGGAGTGGTCTATACCTCAAACTCAAGGGGAAGTAGTCAGTGCTAGGGCAGGCCATGCTGGTGCTGTCATTGGAGAAAACTGGTATATTGCTGGTGGAGGGGATAATAACAAGGGTATGCTGTTAACTTGTGGATTGCTGCTTAAGAATTATATGATTCTGTAGATATTTTTATACATGATGATATCATTATGGGATTCTGAAGTCTTTGGGAGTTTTGGCTGAAACAAACTAAATTCAGTTGACTAACTGTGCAGTTGAACTTTTCAGGTGCATCTGAGACTCTTGTGTTAAATATGTCAAGACTTGTTTGGTCAGTGTTGGCAACTGTAAAGGAGCGTGATCCCATTGCCAGCGAGGTTGGTACTGCTCTATTCTCTACCCTCTATATTGGAGTTGTTGAAGTAGCTACTTATAATAAATTGAGAGATGGGCATCAATTGAGATGTCTGGTTATATTGCATGAAATTAAATAGTTATATATTTCAATTTCAAGCATGCATCCTGATGATACATTGGTAAATTTACACTAGTAACATCAACTTCTTTTTTTTTTGAGAAATGCCAACAAAAAAATTGGCTTTTCAGGCACAACATGTCCGATTTTAAGTCACATCAGATAATTCTTATCTTATTTTTTTTCTTTCTATACCTTAATTTTTTGGCCTATAATGAACATCTTGCTAATAATGATTATGTTATGGGGTAACATGTAACAGATTTTGCTGCATTTTGAAGGAACGGTGATTATCTTGCAATTAAAAATCAAAACATGCATACATTCAAATTTGAACTGAAATGTAGGAATTGAATTTTAATTGCAATGTCATACAGTTAGAATGATAATTGTGAACTAACTTGCTACAGTAAGATGAGTGTTTTGAAAATGAAACAGAAATATAGGGTGGAGATTATATTCCAATGGCATACGATAACAATAATCTGGTTTCTATATGTTATAAGATTTTTAAACTTAGTTTATAAGATTTTTAAACTAAGTTGTAAATTGTTTTGTCCTGCTTATCCTCTAGGTTTAAGGTAATAGTCTCTCGTCAAGATGGACACTAACCAATTGCCCACATTTCATTTATGTACTGTTTATTTGACATGGTATGGTGTCCTATTTTTGTATATCACTAATTTTTCATTTGGTTTTTGAAATAATGTTCATGCAATGTCATGATTTTGTTGCACCATATGAATTTCAGGGTCTCAGCCTTACCTCAGCCACCATACATGGTGAGAAACTCCTTGTTGCATTTGGGGGCTACAATGGAATGTATAACAATGAGGTACAAAGCAGAATGCACTTTATTCCGAACTTAAGCTCACTTATATATCTGTTCACTTTATTGTGGGCAGCTAAAGTTTTTCAAGTTTTCATCCTTGAAGTATTTATCTGATAAAAGCTTTTTATATATATATTTTTATTTAAAAGTTTTAAAATTAGCCGAACTAAAACAGAGTATATGGAATGCAAGTTTAGTAATAATAGGGTCGAGACGAGGAAGTAGTTAAGATTGACGGCCAGAAAATACAAAAAAGGAGCACACTTTCAATATCTTGGGTTGATAATCCAGGAAAATGGAGAGATTGGGGAAGATGTCACACGTAGAATTAGAGCTGGGTGGGCGAAGTGGAGATGTGCAACCAGAATTTTATGTGATCGCCGCATACCAATGAAGCTGAACGGCAAGTTCTATAGGATAGATGTGAGACCAACTTTGCTCTACGGGCAGAATCTTGGGCGTCAAAAAACATATACCCATAGAATGAATGTAGCGGAGATGAGGATGTTGAGATGGATGAGTGGCAAGACAAGAGGGGATAGAATTCAAAATTAATACATT